CGCACCGCACCGCACCGCACCGCACCGCCCATCTCTGCCCAATCCGACTCTCCCATTCGATCGAATGCTTCCCAGCCACGAGCAGCGTGACGTTCTTGCAGGAGGAATCGCAACTTCCACCACTTTCTTCCAGGAAAGAAACTGATCGACAGGAATCACAACAAAATAACGACAAATTCCAGCCGGTGTTCGGTGGAAGACGATCGCCTGTGCACGGAATGCATTATTAAGGCAAGCGGTTACAATTTATTCACTTTCTTCTCTTAATTCAACACCTGAATTATCCCTTTCAGATTGTTTAGCAGAATGAATAATTGGTTCAAATTTGCAGTACTTCGACTTGAAGTACAGAATATCGATCATAGAAAACATCCTGGGTGCTGCTCGGGCGCTAATATTGTCCACAGACTGGCTGACAGGCTGGCTGACCGCCGAAGTGACAGGCAGACGGACACGGGCACAAACTTTCAGATGGATCGAAGGACAGTCGGACAGATGAACCTACACACATCGATGAATTTTCAGAACAATTTTCAATTTCACAGAAAACTTTTGAGTTGTCGAGAAACTTCATGTGACTAGAGATTGCGACATTATGCTGCAAATAATTTATATAGAGACTTTAATTTCAATGCAAGTTTTGAGGGGTCCAGATATCCAAAATAGCATTCACTTTTTCAAACCTTCGGTCTTTCAGTAGGTGAGCAAAATACAAACTAGCACCTAAAACATACCTAGCATTTTTCCAAAAATTAATATTCCCCAATTAATCCGACTCGAAAAAGCCCTGGAAATTCGAAATTAATCATTTAATTTTGTTGGTACTTCACATGAAATCCCCAACGACTTTTCGAATGTTCACAAAAATTGCTCATGTTCTGTACATGTTCTGTTTTGCTATATTGTTAAGAACGCTCGTAGCTCGGCGCAGATCCAGTTAACATCCCTGAATTTTTGAAAATTAAAATCTCTTAAAATGTTTTGAACGCCCCTTTGCAAAAACATTATTAAATAAAGATTTTGTTCAGAATGAAAAGTATAATCGAAAATTAAATCTTTAAGTAATCTAAAGAATAATAATGTAAAGAATAACCATTTGATGATATGAGAGTTTTTTTCAATGGTATCGTGGAAATCAAAAAAATCATAAACAAGATTACATTCAGAAGGGTCCTCGTATACGTACGTATGTACGAAGCAAATGTACGTAATCTACGCGATAGAGACTAATCTATTGGCCCGACACGAAACTGGAAACTGGTGCAAGAGAGGAACTTGATGGCGCGCGTACGGTGACGGGGCCAAGGGAGGGGCAGGGATGGAAAGGTACAGGGACGAGGTGTCCGGGGAGGGCGAAGGTGCTCTTTTCGAGCAATCTCCTCAGACGAGCGACAGAGACCGCGGGAGGCCCTACGAGGTATAAGAGCATACGGTCACATCACAAGCTTCCCCGATTACGAAACTCGTACAAAAAGGTCTGTCATTTTGTAGCTAGCACAAGTTACTTTCTCGTATACGTACGTATATACGGAGTATAGAGAAAGTCATGTAATGGAGCGGAAAATCGATTTCGAGATTTCGAAGGAAATTCACGTTTTGTGGTCCTTTGATATCAAAAAAATTGTTGTTTTTTTTCCTCTTTTTATACTTCCGTCCGTCTGTGAACAATGCTAGCGCCTAAATTATTCCTAAAACATTATTCCAAAGCGAATATTCCCCGACCCGAAGGCCTGGGATTTTGAAAATAATTCTCGAAACATCGTTCTCATCTACAGAAAATCTCAAGGATAATTTAAGTCTATATTTATAGGCGTAATGTGGTTACAAATTTTAACTTATATAAGAAGCTACAAAAGTTTTTTTTTTGTTTTTGTTTTTTTTACGAAGTACTCCAGGTAAATTGACGAGGAAAAACTTAGCTTTTTAACTTAGTTTTCTTTAACTTCAACTACAGTTTTTAACACAAAAGATTTGTAACCCCTGGGGCGGTTTGCCTCCCTTAATCCCCTACCCCCTTTCAGACAGAGCTGGCATCCTAGCGTCGGGCGGCGGGACGTTGGCCAGCCCTGGCGGCGGCGCCGCGCGCGCCACACGACCCCTCGCCGGCGCGAGGCGGGGGGGGGGCGGGAAACGGGGGATATCCGGGGTTAATTAGGTCATTAACTTCAAACTGCGCGGGACAGAGGAGGCGGAGATATGAGAAGGGACGCCCGGCCAGCGGCGCCGCTATTTCCACAACATGAGAAAGACGAATATCAGGCAGATTCGGCTCTCCAGCGCCCAGCGCCACTCGACCCGCGCGGCTCCGGTGCGGCGAAAAATGACACAAGTGAAACCGAACGCGCGAGCGGCGCGGCGCGGCACACGGCACGGCACACGGCACTGAAACGAATACTAAATACTGTTCTGCCTATGACATTATGCACAATTTGATCGTTCGCCAAAAACAGGGAAGTGCGTTACAACACCTCCCGACATAACGAATTTGCATTATGACCTAACCCATTCGCTAATTAGGACAGCAGACACAGACAAAGTAAAACTCAGCCAAGTGATACATTAACCGTTGACGTGTGTTTCGCGCTGAGTTCGTTGCAGCAGATTTATAAAGTAATTGGATACCTATCGGTACAAAGATGCCATTTGCCATGTGAGAACACAAATTTTGTTAAAAAAGCTCTCTCAATTTCAAATATTTATTGTTTAAGATTCAACATAAAATTTCAAAAAATAAAATACAAATGTTTCATGTTGTCTATATAAAGATAAATATTATAATTTACTTCTAACAAAGACACTCTCAACATGGTTTGTGAAAGGTGCTAGACCCCTGGTCACATCCAAAGGTGTTGCATGCCACTACAGATTTGCGTATGAAACTGGTAATAGTGATCTTTAGCTTGACATGGCAACATTCGTTTCAAGCTCTTTACTTCTGTGATTGATCTTAGTAAGGAAGCACATAAAAATTTTGCTTTAATAACTACTGTGACAAACTTTCCTTTTTCCAAGTATATATTCTTCCAAGCAACCTCAATCTCGTTTAACAAACGGCTTCACTTGCACAAGACTTACATCACTTGAATGATTCAATAACATAGACATAGGAATATGCAGACAGAGGGAGCTCAGGGGGAATATAACCGTTTTCAATGAGGCCTCATAGGCCCCACATGATCAAACATTTTACTTCTGTAAATATTTCCTATCCTTGATATCCCCCTTTTACTTGACAATTAGGGATTTCTGGAATTTTCCTTAATTAGGGTGTTTTAGAAACAGCTTAGTCACACACAAAAACACTTGTTTTATAAGAAACATTTTAAAAATTATAAAAATCTCAGAAAAATTATAATAAATTTTCACAATAATTTAAATTAATTTGTCAAATGCGGTAAATTAAGGAATTTGTTATATATTTGGGGAAGAGGCTCATTACACGAATAACGTGTGTATTTTTTTCCAGAATCAGATTATTCTCCTGTATCTGTCAGTATGACAAGGTTGTTACGCCTTGAAAATTGTTGCATTATGAGATGATAGGGGATGATGCATGTTGAAGGGTGTGATAGGGAATTATAATAAAAATAATGAAGGTTGTTAAAAGTGATATTGATTTTTCTCCTCGGAATTGCGCCAGTCAGCTTTAATGGAATCGTGTCGGAAAACTTTCCCACTCGCAAATAAAACAATGGCCACTTTTAAGTACTCTATACATGTGCAATTTAATTCAAGCCCGTTTTTCCCCCCGTTTTTTAATTTGGTAAATTTTCCCCCCCCCCCCCAAAAGTTTTTTTTTTTCCCCCTTTAGGTGATATGAGGGAGGCTTACAATTCTGGGAGCAATACAATCTTTATTTAATTGTGGAACACAGAGGTACACAGGTTTCTGATTAGTAATTTGAATTGTTTTTATATTTGCTATGAATTCTGCAAGTATATTGTAGTAAACTCTAGAAAAAATCTATTATGTACGGACGTAAAGGCATCATGTATAAGTATAATATAATTAGTGGCTTTGCAGCAAGCAAAATGTTACTGAGTGAAACATACAAAAGTATTTCCAAATATAGAACCACACTCCTTCAAGAACAATAAAATACTCACGTTTATCCAATTAAATTTATTATTTTAATGAACACAGTCTGATGAATACTACAATAACAAGTATAGTATGTACTACAGTTGAATGTTATTTACATAGGGGGAACACAAAGAAAGTAAATAAAATGCTGTCCATTAATGTGAGTCCAGAAATGGGTACGTCGGCTACATTCCTTGGAGTCATATTGTTGATGTCGTTGCTGTATTGTCAGCTGCTCGGGCATATTATAAGAAATGTGCAATACTATTTACTTTTTTAAGTAAAATCGAAAACAGATAATTTTTTTTTGAAATTTTTTTCCGAGTTCCTGGTTATTTACCATTGTCCATTCTACAAAAAGGACCCGAGACTGCACAGTTTCTTGTCGTTTTCTATGCGCTGTGAAAATGTGTACTATAAATTACCGAAAAGTTTTTTTTATAGGAAATGATGTGCCGAACGATTAAGTCATTGCGTTCATATTACTCAGTGAATTCTAAACATTTCAGTTTTGGAACTTATAAACCTCACTGTTCTCGCTTTACCACATCTGTAATCTAAAATGCTTGCGGCGAGCTGGGTGAAAGACGACTGGCTTTCGATAGCAGCGATTGCAAATCGCTCACAAACGTCATAATGAACAAATGGGATGCAGAATAAGATTCAAGCCTTTTTAAATGTATCAAAATGTATTTTTTTATTCTTTAAGAATAGGTTACTAGAACAAGTTAACGCTACTAGGTTTCACTGTCACGAAATTTGTGTGTAGAGAGCTTTTTTTGTTTTTGAACAAAAACTTATTGTTCGATATATAACATATACACTTACACAAGAGTCATTTCAACGTGAGAAAACTAGCAGTTTCCTAGGTTCTAATGAACGCTTCTAAATTAGGTTTCGAGGAATAGTAAAAATTTAATGCAGATTTTAAATATTACTCATAGAAATTTAAATAATACCTATACTTCACTTAATATATACATTACATAACAAAAAAACACATCAGTTAAATATATACGTTATACTCATAGATCTCGTCATAGCGAGGATCCTAAATTTCAGGTAAGGAGGCTTTTTGTAGCAGAACACAAGTTTCTGTAATCTTTGTTTCTCCAGAATCGTCATCGCGGTGAAATAATTCCATGATGCATGTCCTTTGGGGTCCATACAAACGAATGGCAACCTTCGTTTCCCTGGCGAGTTTTGAGCTGGCCCTGAATTTGATAATAATAATCGTTCTTTTTCTCATTTCAATGCTTTTTGTCAATTGCAGTGAAATTTTTTATGTTTTGTTGCTCCTGTTTGACATGTTTTTTTTTGCTGATTTGGGGACTTTTATTTCTAATCGTTGAATCTTCTCCGACCACACGTTCAGGGGAAGCTCCAAGCAACTCCATGAATTGGGTGTTTACAAGAGAAGCATTTTCAACGATTAGACCTGTTTTTTCTTGATAAACAATCAATTCCGTACATCATGGAACTTGACCGGAAGTCACGCTACAAGGAGTTTTTTGGCGATACAGGAGCCCACTTAATTTGACTGGCCTCTTACAAACATATACGAAATTGGACGCGGTGAGCCTGTCTTTTCTTTCGCAATGTGTCATCCTCTCGATTCTGCCTGCTCTTGTTGCTATTCAAGCTCCACATTTTCCTGCTTTATTAAGTGACAGTTGCAAGATGTCGTTCTCTTTCATTGTTCTCTAGTTCGCTATCTCCATGTCCAGCCTGCATGCATAATACACCCGTGGTCAGCTAACTTTTCTGGCTATCTTTTACTCGTATTGACTACCTGCCCAGATCTTACTTTCTCTAACGCATTCTTTCCTCTTGCCGGGCCTTGAAGAGCGACTTCTGCACTGCTTTCGTTTTCCTTCTTCTCGTGGTTTGCTTTAACCAATAGAAGGCAGGACTTTTCATTCGACATAGATTTCATTGTTCTAATGTGAATCGATTCAACTGGAAGTCAAACCGGGCAGTTTTGTTCTGTGGGTAAAGAACTGTTTGCCTTCTGTTAATTTTGTTTTCCCCCAGTAAAATTTTGCCATCTAAAGACATGTAATATTCGCAGCGTTTGCTATTTGGCTGTTAGTGATAAGTTTGATGACTTTTCAGTACAACTGGCTGCAAATAGAAATCGTGCTTTGTTCGCAGATTTCCTTCTCGTTTCTTTGGGCAGTCGTAGACTCGCCTATTTTGGAGCAAAAATATGGCTTGCAAGAATCTGTGAATGCCCAAAAGTATGTAAGATAAAAGAGCTCGTGCATATTACTACGGCTTCATTCTTTTCCGGTATGTGAAACGGAAGATCTTAGGGTAAGGTGGGATGAAAACGGGAATACTTAGAAGTAAATATACCTAAAATAAGATGTTGAGAAGATGGACTAATCGGTGGTATTTACAGAATCAGTTCAAATTGGTCTTAAAAAACCAGTTCCAAATAGGAATCGATACTTGTTGAGTAATCAGTCTCAACAATTTTAATATGGTATTCAAAGGAAGACGGAAATTGTGAAAAGATAGTTATGTTACTTATTACAGACCGTTTACGTCGGTCTTAATAGCAGTAATTGCATCTCTAGTTTGGTATCTGTGGGAAAGTAGATTGTAGATGCAAAGTGACGGCATAACGACTGTCTGGCTACGTATCCGCAAGTCCGCCTTGCTTCCGCGGGGCTGGCCGCACGCCGGCCTGGCCTGGCTGGTCCGTGCCCCGCGCCGACAGACGGCCACAACAATCGGTTGGGTGACGGCAACGGCACAGAGGGGAGGGGGGCGAGGGTTTTCCGTAAATTTCACTTTTGAACGGCTTCTATTCATTCGGATCTTGGCATGATTGTAGGCGTTGGATTCAGCAAGCATGTCGCCATTTTGCGCTATTAAGCCACATTTTTTTATTTTTTCTCGGAGTTGAGAACTATTTAATTTGAATTTTGCTAGATTTTTGGAAAGGGGGCATCGTAGAGTGAGATTCTAATTTTAAAAAAGCGTCAAATGCGTTTACAGATCGAAAATCGGACATTGGTTCGACGTTAATACGTAAAGTAAATTTTACTTATTTGGGTGCTGTTAGGACGTGGTGGCCACAAATTGTACTAGTGTCGATACATTTAGCCTTAAGGCTACCACTGTGCTCTTCAGACCTGCCCGTGAAACTCTTTCAGTCTGCCCATGCGCTATTCAGTTTGCCCCAGCGCCCTTCAGTGTTTGTCTGCCTGTCCTTCCCTCTCATAGGACGGGACCATGCAGGGGTCAGAAAAGCAAGGATACTCTAGACAAAATTTGCTTTTTTTCTGGCTAATAGACGATTGAGATTAAATATTCCGGTAATGAAAGGTACTTAAGGTCGAAGAGAGTATGATGTGTTTTAAAAGATATATATCTAAGAACATATATACTGCCAGTCAAAAGTTTTTGGACATCCATTGAAGTTTGTTTTTTTCTTAATATGCTGTATTTGGCCTTAACAGTGCAACCCAAACCCATAGCAATGAAGTAGAGTCTTGGTCTCAATTTATTTTGTGCAGATAAACATTACTTAGGGATCCTTATATCCACACTAAAGAGTATTTATTGGTGCAAAGTGTTAGGCGGCTTTGAAAGCCACAGTTTGCAGTTGAGTGCAACGGATTCCGGACTGTAGGTACACCAGGGTTTTTGGTTTATGGTGGTTCAGAATTTAAAAATACTGCATACCTACAATAATTTTCATACCCACAATACACCCATCTCAATTTTGTATACCCACAATATAAAAATCTTGCATACCAACAATAAATATTTCTGGCAAACAAGTGATTAGATGAAGTCAAGAATATCATGAAATCAAAGCAACAGAAGCAGTAATTACAGATGCAGAAAATTGACAATTTTTGCTACAAATATTCAACAATAAATATTCAAAGAAAATAATGCAGAAATTAAGACATACTTACAAAAACCAACATGATAAAAAATGCAGCAAGATATGAAGTTCTCGCCATCCACATGCTCACGAACCGATAATGTTCTCCAGTCACAACATTTCTGCAAACAAGATAACGAAATGAGAAAATAAATGAGCAAATCTTTTTACACTCCATTTATATCTATTAAACAACGTGCTTAAAAGGTATGTATTAAAAGGCTTTTTGTTATCAACACTATAAGCACACTTTAATGGTTTATAATACCAATTTTGTGTAATGGAGCGGGGCGGGGCAAGGAGACTTGTCTATGCCTGATGTGTTATAGGCAGACAATAATCATACTACATTAGAATTGATGAACCAAAGGTAACTGGAAAATTCTTCCAAGATTGTTTCAAAACGCAGAGATATGATTATATTTTCATTTTCCCACAAACAACACAAATAAATAATTTAACAAACCTTACATCTTCTACAGCATATTAAATATTACAATAAGACATCAATAGGATTCAAAAGTGTTTTGTAAGTACTTGATTTTCTACCTCAATTTTGCACCACAAACTTATGGAAAATTTATAATGAAAAGAAATCTTTTTAATATTTTTTGTAAAGTTCAACCAATTTTAACTAATTTATGATTGACCAACCCGTGTTGTTCCAATAGTTTACCCCACAGCTAGAACCAGCAGAATAAAATAGAGAACTTAAACAGATAACTCAACTTAAAAAAGATTTTTAAAAAATTTAAATCAATAATTATTGTTATTATTATTGTTGTTGGTTTTTTATTAGAGCATTGGCTATTACTGGTAGCCTTGGAGTAGGTAGCCTAGTACCTACCTAAGATATCCTTTATTGTCTTCTTGTTCAGCCAAGGTCTTTATGCTTGCCATCAAAAGATCATCATAGCCCAAAAATTCATCCAAAATAAATCGACTAAATGCATCTCCAAAACATGCATCTTTTGTAGGATCTAGGGTAACAATTTTTACAGGTATATTCAGCCTTTGACGCGTTCCAGGGGATAGTCGCAAGAAACCATACTCAAGAGAATACTCAACAATGTACTCATCCTCTGGAAACACTACAACAAAATATATGCATTAATACTGAACTAATGTTTAAAAAATATTGAAAAGTCTAATATAAAATTTAAAAAAACTTTCAAAACACATTTTTCATTTTCATACCTACCAGCTCTGACAAGTTTCTCCACTTCAGACACAGATTCTTTTAAAGGTGTCATAATTTTATCACTGGACAATCCTCCATTTTCCTGACTGGTTTCATTTGCATTCACCATGTACTGAAACAATTCATTTAGTAATTCATACATACATCTCAGTAATAAAATAAAGAATTAGCAGATGAAAGGCATAACCAAACTTAACTCACATCTTCAGTGTTTTCAACTGCATTAGTTTGCCTTCCCTGAGCTGGCACTGAAAGCTATAACAAATATATACATATATTTGAAATAGATGCCCTCAAAAATCACATAGAAAAAAGAAAGACACAAAATAGAACATCTTTAGCATCATAATAAAAAGATTTCACAACCAGTGTTCAATACTGCAAAGGGGATGATAGTGAAAGAGAACCAAGAACAACACAAGCTATTACTTCTAAATAATTTAGAAGAAACATTTTTTTGCAGAAAATATCTTATATTTAATAAAAGCTGCTTGTAAATTGTCAATGCAGGTATGGGTAAAAAGCACAGAATACCTTCTTTTCCTGATTAATGAAGAATATACATAATCTGAAATGATTTTTGTTTGTTTAATAATAAAATAGCTAACAATATTTTAGATCTTCCTTTTTTTACACATCAGAAGTGAAATTAAGATCATTTCATCTCATAGAAAGATATCATTTGCTCATGTGTTGGAAACTACTCATTTCATGAAACATTCTCTGCACATAAAACTTTTCTGGTAAAAATTTGGAACCTTGTTCATTTGCTCTAGCTACAATCGTCTGGCACCTGATGTTTCTTAACCCATTTCTGCCTAGGATGATATATTTTATACATTTTTTGCTTTTCTATTCCAATATCACTTCACTTGCTATCAATATACTATTCTATGAAAGAAGTATGGTATACATTGTCACCTAACATTTCACAGAATAGGTAAGGAATATTTTCAGACAGAACAGAATGTACAGTGTGTGTGTGTGCTGCAATATTTCAGTAGAAACAGACATAAGCAGTTTTCAAGAGGTAAGCCATTCTATTTCAATACAGAATTTGGTGCATAAGGGATACCTTTAAATTTTTTAATTAAAGTAAGGGGCAAATCTTTAAAGAAATTATAATTACGAAAAATATTTGGCAATTGGGCTGCATCAATGATACAGATGCTGGACAAATCAGCAATCAGCAGAGTAAGTCGGCAAAATACAAAATGGTGTTTACAGGGGATTGCAATGCATGGGTGCTTCTCGAAGAAAAGAAAAAGTCTGTGTGCCAGTATGATTTTCATCAGTATATTTTTCAAAAGTACCCGACTTCTTGATTTCCAATGCCAACCGTAAAGAAAAAATCAGGTGAGACGAGATGTAAATCAATTGCAATTATTCTCAACAAAAAAGAAGATGCAGTGGGATCAGAAATGCAATTGAGTTGCACAAACTAAGAACTTAAAAGATGATGGTGATGATGATGATGATGATGATGATGATGATGATGATGAAAATCTTTGCATTGACTGTTTTGCACCTTTTCACATCATAATTGTTCTTTATTATCAATAAACTTTCCTGTCATTGTTTATTTCAAACATACAAATTTTTATGAAACAGACTTTCATTTGCATAATCTGCCTAAGTGACACCCCTTAACTTCAAACTGATAATGCAAAAGAAGTTTAAAAATATATTTTTGTTTTCCTTATACACCCATTAGAGAATTCAAAACACCCTTTTTTTTATTATAAGGAGACAAAAATTCCAGGCAGAAAAGGGTTAATTCTCTATTAAATAAATCTCAAATACTTTTTACTCTTTTTTGATGACTATGTTCTGAAAATTATACATTTTTCATTTCGAAAATTATTCACACTTTCAAGTTATCTAATACATTTTAAACTACCTTTATAACCATTCCATCCAACACTGAATGTCAATTAATAGCAATTCCCTAAAAAACAAACATTCACAAATCAAATCTGGGTTTGTTTTCAAAATAAGCACACAATTTTGCAAAAACTTATTATGCATATTTGAATTTGGGACTAATTTCCCTTTGAGAGTTTTACCGTCATTGATATTATCCAAAAATCTTGTTCTGTAGTGAAGTTCTCTGGATTCGGAAAAGGCCACCCAGGAACGTGAAATCCAGGCAAACCAGATGAGGTTAGGTGAGGTAAAAGGTGAAGGAAGTTTGGATCTAAGGGCTCTGGTCCAACAGTCATCTGAAAGTGTTGTGAAAATTGAGAGGCTTTTGTCAGTATGTTAGGGACGTCCATAAATCACATAATGCTAAAGAGGGGGAAAACTAGGCTTGAGGCAGTGTTAAACTGCATTACATAGGGGCACAGGTGTGCAAGTTTAGTGCTATCTAACACAGGTATCCCCCCCCCCCAACATTTGCTGAAAGAATTCCTTTTTTCAAAATTTTCTCTTCATCATATCATTAGCATCCAATAACAAATCGGCTGAAGAAGGTCTTTCCTTTTATCATAATAGTAAAACAATGCCTGAATGCCCGAATTAATTCAAATGTTTGCCAAGAGCCAGTGTTGCCAGCTGCAAGAAATGATAATTGCTAATCTACACTAAATCCATATGCCGAAGATAGTTCAGGGGTTGTCTAATACAGATATATTCTAAAACTATAAAACCTTGACAAAAATGTATACCTCATCTTATCTGCAGAAATGTACAGTATGTTCTTTCTCCGCTGTGTTATCTTCTATCTTTCCTTTTGGAAGTGGCGTGGTGGCAGGGACGGGAGGATATTGTCTCAAGCTATACGTAATTACTTAGGGGGGTTCTTGTAGGCAGGATGGTTGTAAGTTGCTGGAGGCGAGGAGGTATTCAAAATGCCCGAAATTTATGTTACGTAATTTACGGATGACACATTAGGATATTCTAGTTGTACTGCTTGGCATAAAACTGAACAAATTAAACAAATGACCAAGAGTAAATTCAATACACATTTTGTGAAATAAATGATCAGAAAATTCAATCACAAATACACTAAAACAACCACAACTTGAATGCAGAACTCATGCTCCTTTAGACATTTGTATTTTAATGGGAACAAAAAGAATGTTCACTTATGAAAATAGATCTGAAAATCATAAATATTGCATTTACACGAGGTGGAAAAATGCTACTGTTTAAGGTTTAGCAAAAGGTTCTCAGTAGTTTAGATCAACACTTAAGATTTGAATAAATTTTCAAACTCTTCAACATTGACTTGGAATCACAATTGCTCATTCCGAAATGTATCAATTTTCTCTGGTGGTTTTAGTACATCCCCAGTCACTACTTGTGCTTTTCCATTTCTCCAAGTACTGTTCGTTCACCAACACAAGTTTAGCAAGTGTAAGTATTTAGGTAAGTATAAATATTCACCTACATACATAAAAATTTCTTCATTATTTTCCACAGTTCTATTTCATTTATTCCATTGTATTTATATAGATTTATTTCAGTTCTTCACCACACATGCAACCAATTTTCGTAGTTTTTATAATGATTATAAGTAGTCCACACACTTGGGGGAGGGGGGGATGGCACTTCAGCCCACCCCCCAAAGCCAATGATACATGAAACAATACAAAAAAGTAGTTTTCATTCATTTCTCTACTAACAAAAGTCATTCTGTTCATCAATTGTATTTTCTGAGTTGTAACATGGCATCAGTTTCTAAGAAACTTTTTGGCGATTATGTACATTACGTTAATGAAGCAATTCCCAGTCCTGATAAGATTTCTTTGTAATTTTTGAGCCAAAATTATGATTTTCATGATAATGCATCAAAAGAGCCACTTTATACGTAATTTTTTATATGCAAGATTTTTTTCATTGTTAACGTTTTGTTTTTTCACATCGCAAATTTTACAATACCTTTTTTTTAGCATATACCACTTCTTTAAAGAAATTGTTCTGAAGTGATTGATTGAGAACTTCTTTTAATCTCTTTGCATAGATTTTTTATTTATTAATTGTTCATTATCTTCCTATGCACATCCTTGACATGGGAGGATAAAGCTTCAATTATAATGAAATCTATGAGCAACCCAGGGCCTCAAGGACTCCTGTGTACTTTTTAATATCTTTCAATCTGAAGTACATGTCTGTAATCTTCAACTGGGAACTGTGGTGGTGAATTAGGTACAGTGTTACCAACTCTGGAGTTGATGAACTCAGCTAATATTAATTGATCATTTTTCCAGCGTGTTTAATTCTTTCTGCAGCTCTCCCTACACCATTTTCATTCCTTCCGTTTTCCCTCTTCAGGTACATAGACCACTATTACAGTAAAATAGCCTAATTCACTCTGTAGCCAAACTTCACCATAGTGTCATTTATAAAACTGTGTTTCAAATTCTTTAAGATTCCATTTCATCACATATATTCCATTTAGAATCAACACTAATTCTCCCCTTGCTCACACAGATTCATGTACTCCACTATAGATTATGATATTTTGGCCAAAATCCTTTGTTCTACTTGGAAAGTTTGACCAATATTTTTTTGTTTCTGTTATTACGACTGTTTACTTTGTCTGTCTTAAAGGAGTGATGTGTTCATTTTCTCTGTTTGCTAAACCTCTGACATTCCAGACGACAACTTTCACAATGCCTATTATTCCATATCATTTATCCCTTTTTTTACATGATTCCTCAACAAAACCATTCTGTTTATCTTGACAAGGGATCATGTTGGCACAGCTTAGAAAGCCATTTGATTTTGCTGCATTAGGTGGGACGCAGCATTCAAGACAGCATTGGAAGAACAACACAAAGCCAAACACGGCACACCTACACCAAAGGAGAGGTCAAATACCAAAGATAAGGCACAGAGGGCCCCAAAGGTGTAGTGAAGCTTATCTCTAGAGGAAGTCAACCTTGAACAAAATTCCCAGTCCCTCACGAGTGGGAGTTATGTCGGGTCGGTAATTCCCCCATAATAAACCCTTTATGCTCTGAAGCTTCTAAAGAGACATAATAAAAAGAATGATAGTTAAGTCCATAATTATGTACACTCTTTTACTAGAGAAATGAGAACTGCCTGTTTATTGGTTTTCCTAAGAAATATTTGATAATGTAATTTATTTGAATATGTTACATCAACCGTACATGGAACATTGTTAATGTATTTATTGTTATATATTTTTCAGTTTGTTCTTGAACTTCATTTGATTTCAGTTCTAAAATAATATTTTTCGAGAAATTTTTCTAGTTTTGTTACGTCTGGAATAATATGGTCCTTAGATTTATTTAGTCAACAAAACAGTAAAAACTGTATATGATGTATGAGGGAGAAGATTATCTGTGCATGTTTTCTTGAGTTCCAGAATCCCTTCCCATCGTTTTAACTATAAATAGTTGAAAGATAAGTAAAAGTTTAACATAAATAAATAAAAATAAATTTTAAAACTCACAAGACTAGCAATATTTGAAAAAATAGGCATTTTCGTTTCCAAGTTATAGAAAACTTACTTGGATCGGTAAACAAATTGCAAGTATGGTTTTTCTTCATTGCTAACAAAATAGTAACTCGCCCTTACCTCTACTCTTACCATTACAAGCAAAAGGAGACTTTAACAAAACGTGCGCATACTGAAGCTACATTTACGCCTACAAGCAAAACAAGGGGCCATCTCAGCATTTGCTCAATGGATCAGGGAAACTGAACAAAAACCTGATCGAGATGGAGGATTCTTGTTTTCCAACACATTAGTTTACAATATGTTTTGTTGATCTGGGATCAGTAAAAGATTCTCTGATAGCTCATGACTTCACATTTTATTCTGACTTTGTGATCAATTGGATAAAGTCTAACATTAATTTCAATGATTAATCTACCTTCTCAACATACAGCAAATTCCTCAAAATACCTTTTCTATCATCATGTATAGACTTAAGTGTCTATTACCTGTTAAACTTTGTTGAGTTGTAATCCAACCCTTTCCCCTATATTTAAACAGTATTTTTAAACATTTCAACATCTTGTCACATTTTTTAGAATTACAGTATTATTATCATATATTCTTAGAATTATATTATATAATTAAATTATGTCATATTTTATACACTTATCATGCAACAACAACACTGCTCTAGACTATCAATTTGGATTTCGCCAGCATCACTTGACCATAGAGCAGATAAACAGGATAACTCCACATACAGAATGCATCTTTGAAAATAAACAATATTGTTCTGCAGCCTTTCTAGATATATCTCAGACCTTCAATAAGGAATGGCACAATGGCCTCCTGTATAAAATTAAGCGCTACCTACCCATCTCATATTTTGATATCTTCCAATCCTTTCTTTCACATCAAAGTTTCCAAATTAAATACCAAAATGATCTCGGACCTCCTTCCTATAAAATTGTGAGTGCCCAAGGAAGCGTACATGGACAAGTGCTTTATCTGTTAAACATAGAAGGTATTCTAGAGACTGAAAACACAATAATTGCTACTTTGACAGATGACATAGCTACATTGGCTTCTATCAATAATTTTCGAGAAGCATCACAAAAACTACAAGATCACGATATTGCACTTGAAGAGTGGTATAACAAGAGAATATAAATAAATGACAATAAATTAACACATATTACTTTTACTCTTAGGGAAGAAACCTGTTGACCTGTTATGATCAACAGAAACCAAGTACCACAAACAGAGAGCACTAAATACCTAGGAATTTATATAGACAGATGTCTCACGGGAAGAAAAATAT